TGATTTTTTACAGAGAGGAAGGGAGAGAGACAGAGAGTTAGAAATATCGATGAGAGAGAAACATCGATCAGCTGCCTCCTGCACATCTCCTACTGAGGATGTGCCCGCAACCCAAGTACATGCCCTTGACCGGAATCGAACCTGGGACCTTTCAGTCCGCAAGCCAACGCTCTATCCACTGAGCCAAACCGGTTTCGGCGAGTTCTTTATATATTTTGGAAATTAACCCCTTATCAGTTGTATCATTGGCAAATATGTTCTGCCAATGCAGTGGGTTCCCTTTTCATTTTGATGATGGTTCCTTCTGCAGTGCAGGTTTTTAGTTTGATGTACAGTATTCGTTTACTGACAGAGCGCCACCTGGTGTTGAGCAGCCAGTCCATTTCGGAGGACTGAGGGCTACAGAGTGGGGCCTACACATCCCTGTGTCCATCCAGCCGCCAGGGAGTTTCACAAAGACTCAAATACATAACAGCAAACTGCAGTATGTTCTGGAAGACAAAGGAAGGATACCACGTAGAGATATAATGGGGGACCTTGCTGAGATGTGGGGGTCAGGGGATGCTCACTTAAGGAAGTGGCTGTAAAGAGAGACCTCTAGGGACAGGAAGGTTGGGAGGGTGAAGTCTGTGCTAGGCCGAGGCCATAGCACAGCACAAAGGCTCGAAGGACAGCCCATTGAGGGACCGATAGGTAATTGCAGGTGTGAGAAGTCAGCAGGGACCACGTGGAGCAGCGCCCCAAACGCCACCTTAACAAGTGTGATGTGGTCCTCAGCATAGCTGGGAGCCAGGGAGGGCGCTGGAGCTGAGGGAGGGAGGGAAAGGTGGCGGGAGTCAAGCTTTACAATTAGCGGCCCAATAAATGGCGCTTTAGTCTGTGGCTATTTTAAAAAATATACATTTTTATTGATTTCGGAGAGGAAGGGAGAGGGAGAGAGAGATAGAAACATCAATGATGAGAGAGAATCATTGATCAGCTGCCTCCTCCACGCCCCCTAATGGGGATTGAGCCCACAACCCGGGGATGTGCCCTTGACCAGAATCGAACCCGGGACCCTTCAGCCCGCAGGCCGACACTCTATCCACTGAGCCAAACCAGCTAGGGCTGTGGCTACTTTAGAACTTTTCCCTTTTCTGCAGCAGGCCTTTCACCCTTTTTAAACCCCAACTTTTCATTATGAAAATTTTCAAAAATACCAACAAGTTGGAAGAAGCACACAAGGAAACGCTAGGTCATTGTTAACGTCTTGCCATATTTGCTTTATCTACATACGGGCGAGGTTTGTGCTGAAACATTTGAAAGTGAATTGTAGACTTCGTGACATTTTCTGATTTCTTTCATTTTGTTACACAACACGTTGGACGTTTCTGGTCATGAAGAACTTCATTCTCCACCGGAGATTATCAAAGTTTGGACATTGGCTCACTCCCACTGCCCTCTGCAGCTGGGGAAGGGGTGGTGGTGGTGGGGGGGTTCTTTCCCCAGAAGTGGCAACATTGCCCTCCCAAGGCAGAAATGCCAGCTGCCAGGGCATCATAGAAAATGTTGACCTTGTTTGAGGCGCTCCTCTCAACAGAACATCCACCCAGCTGGCACCTGGAGAAAGGGAGCCAGTTCCAACCCTCCACCCCCA